CTTCAACGTGGCCTAGTGGATCCTGTTATGGTCAATAACTTGGTCAACACAGACGGTGAGGACATCCGATCTCTATACGAATGTGGAGTTGGCCAATAACTTGGGCGCGATGGAAAGACGTTTGGCTGGCTGAGAGCCCTGTAACAGGGTGTGATGCTCACATTAGCCAAGAGCTCGAGGTGATCAAGGGAGGCTACTGACTTCAACACGGTCACCCACTCTAACATGTACCGGCCTCAAAGCCCATCTCATTACACCTGATTCAGTTACATGCAGGGACCATTGCTAGCAAATAACGCTCCTGGGGATGCGGATAGGTAGGCGAAGTTTTTGGTCTTCACATTAAATTGGCATGTGTTCTTCCTTAAAGTAGGTCAAGGAAAGAAAGACAATAATCACAGCAGAAGCTTGCTTCCGTCAGACGGTTACGTGTCGTGGGAATCCTATTTTCAAAGTTCATACAGTCATTGACTTTGTAAATTTGAAGGTACATAGACCTGTGAAAGAGATCCACATTCAGACAGTATCCTTGCAACTACACAGAAAATATGGTGAACTAGCTTATTACCTGTAGTGTGGCTCCATACTAATTGTGTGTGTTTATTTACTAATACTCCAGTTATGATCAACTTTGAGGCAAAATTTCCAGTAACACTAGCCACAACATGTCTGCTTACCTGCTTGAAGTTTATGAACTAGTATTAGTACTATTGGTTTCTATGTATCATCTGCGTCTTCTACGAATCAACAGCTGACTATTAAAACTTGTTAACCAAGCAGGTATTCTCTGTTGATAGCTACGCGTACTACCCCACGCGCCTATGCTAGCAAGGCTTTTAGTTAGAATTATCATCTGTTACGGAGATACAACTGAAAGCAGTAATGTACCACTCGGCCAGGTTATACCGAGGCTGAAAGGACTACCGCTACCACTAGAAAAGAAACTTGGCTGCAAACCAACCTTGTCGTGAGTAATCTTTACATTCTGTTTATGCATTCAAGGTAATTCTGACTGATGGAGGGATGTATTATTCGAGAAGGAAGTCGCTAGGAGGGCCCTCAGGCGCCGTCAGATGGGCTACTGCACCCTGCGAGCTTTTAACCCGTCACGCATCGCACTGGAACGAAATAGGTCCGTGTAGACCTCATTCATATTGAAATTGCTTTCGTATTAGTATATTCTTGTAGCCGTCGTACCCTTGCATCTGACGTTTCGTCTAGTCCCTTGATCAAACCTGTTTTGCGCCAGGTTGGGATACTCTCCTCACATGTTCAGGATTACGGGGATTTCAATCCGCTCTTACGTTCATATTTGAAGCTCTCTGGGGAGTATTTCGACATCATATCAGTCTGTCGAATACTCTACCTCACGAACAATTATCACAGTCAGCCTCGCCAGCTTGGACCCAATTCACTGGATCTCTTACAACTTTGTCTGGTTTTCATTAAATTCTATTTCACGTTTGGGTTTCGTCCTTCCATCCATTTGTCCTGGTTAATTTTTCCATCATTTAACCGCAGTTCCAATTTCCACGATCATCCGGCTGTCCGTCCTAGCGACATGTCGGAAATCTTTCATGGAGGGGCTACTGAAAGCCGTTGTCAACTGGGCTCACAGGCGGGTCACACAAGCATTAGGAAACGAGTTTTTAAGAACTTAGCGCGCGAACAAATATGAGACAATGGCCTCGAAATGACACAATATGTTTTATTTCAATTTAAATCTTTTTCTAAATGTACTACTAATGCCAGAATTATCAGGCGTCACCATTGGAAATCATTCACTAGAAATAGGCCAAAGAGTTCAAGTGCTATTCTGAATGTTATTTACTTAGATTTACCTCGATGCGTTTCTTATGCTCGCCAGGGTGCCCCTCATTCGAGATAGTAGTATCATCCTGGTGTATTGAACAGGTGTGACATTGATATTATGATCCCCTCAAAGAAGGCAGTCAGAGTCAGGATGGTGTTGATGCCAATCGTACAAACAGAATGAGACTTGTGCAGGTGTGTCCCTGAGATGTAAGAACCTGAGGTATTCGTCAACTTGAGAAGGATTCTACTCAGTACTCCATCTGGTGTGCTTTTTGTCCTTGTTGCCCCCCCGTTGGAATTGCTGATAATAACAGTTTTTTGATCTTTTTTGATGCATCCCTTAAGAGCTATAACGGGTTGCATGAACGTCACTCCTGCGGTTTTGTTGAGTGACACACGCTTGTCTCTTCTAATCCTCAATCAAATTGGTTCGAATCCCCTCCCGCAACCGACCCTTTGAGTAAAAATGAAACACGAGTATTATAATAACCCTGAATAGGTAAGTGCCAGTCAAGGATGTGCTTTGTTTCAAACCTTACGAACAAACAGCTCGGTAAAATCAGGATGACAGAATTTGACCTGACTCCCTTTCATTCATACACTGAACTCCAGATATAAAACGGCCAACAATCAATATTGCTAAGAGGATAGGACGACATTGAGGGATTGCGAGCGCTGTGCTGAAATTTCCGAGTGAGCAAACGAAGGTGGCCCAGTCTGAACCTTTTACGTAAGAACCGCCACAGGTCAGACTATCTCCGCGCTTTCCTTCCTGGTTGTTGCACCTATCATTGATGTCTTCACCTCATAATGTCGATAACATCTCCCAGCGGGATTCTCAAGTTGTCGATCATCGCATGAGCGGTAATGCACCCCTTTGACTTCTCAAGACCTATAAAAAATCACAGTATGTCAGCGAAACAGTGAAGCCCATATCACGAGAAGTACCTGATTCACCGCGATATTGCGCGTTCGACCTCGGGTCATCCGATTCTTCTTCTGCTCTGCCAATCCTCATAGTCGGCCTGAAATCTAAAAAGTAACAATTTCTCTTAGCATGAAGGCAAACCACAATGTAGATCACAGATCTCACTTTGCACAGCGTGGTCGGTCGGTCAACCAATCATCATCAATCTGATCAATAACTTGAGAATCCCGCTGGGAGATGTTATCGACACTTTTGAGGTGAAGACATTGATAATAGGTGCGACAACTAGGGTGGAAGGAAGGAAAGCGCAGAGATAGTCTGACCTGTGGCAGTTCTTATGTACTGGGCCACCTTCGTTTGCTCACTCGGAAATTTCAGCACAGCGCTCGCAATTCCTCAATGTCGTCCTATCCTCTTAGCAATATCGACTGTTGGCCGGTTTTATATCTGGAGTTCAGTGTATGAATGAAAAGGGAGTCAGGTCAAATTCTGTTGTCCTGATCTTACCGAGCTGTTTGTTCATAGGTTTGAAACAAAGCACATTCTCAAATGGCACACTTACCTATTCAGGGTTATTATAATACTCGTGTTTCATTTTCACTCAAAGGGTCGGTTGCAGGAGGGCATTCGAGCCAATTTGATTGAGGATTAGAAGAGACAAGCGTGTCTCACTCAACAAAACCACAGGAGTGATGCTCCTGCAACCCGTTATAGCTCTTAAGGGATGCATCAAAAAAGACCAAAATACTGTTATTATCAGCAATTCCAACGGGGAGTAATAAGAACAAAAAGCGCACCAGATTGAGTGCGGAGTAGAATCCTTCTCAAAGTTGACGAACACCTCAGGTTCTTAAATCTCAGGGACACATCTGCACGAGATAAGTCTCGATCTGTTCGTACGATTAGCATCAATGTCGCACCAGTGGAATATACCAGGATGATATCCCTATCTGGAAAGAGGGACACCCAAGAAACAATTGAAAAGCCCTGCCTAGAGTAGGGGCATCCTGGCGAGCATAAGAAGCGCATCGAGGTAAATCCAAGTAAATAACATTCAGAATAGCACTCAAACTGTTTGTCTTATTTCTAGCGAATGATTTTCAATGGTGACGCCCGATAATTCTGGCACTAGTAGAGACCCCTCCTTGTTACGATATTATGACCTATCGAAAGTTGGAATAAAGATAGACGATCTAACACGACAACACTTAGCGAATGGTTACATCTAGCAAAATGCGACTCAGCTCGCTCGTGTAAGTGGATAGACAATTGAGCTCCAGACATGGCGAGTTGGTGTTAAGGACTATCCGCGTATGTGCAGATTCTTTGCCACAACTTGCCTGCTCTTAATTACGCCATTTTCCCCTAATATTCCATCCAAGTGGAAACAAAAAAATTGCGTTGGAGTTAGCATCTCTCCCTCAGACTCGTGGCGACAGTGATTTTTTCTCCTGTAGCCATACGGGGAGGTAATCAGCGGTACAAACCGCTTCACTACACCAGCCATCACCACTTTGACACGTCCTTAAAACCAGAACCTTTCCCATAATACCATAGCATAGCCCGTTTCTCTTTTTATGCGGTTATTGCAAATCTATGCCCAATCGCTCCAAGACTAGACATTTTATTGACGAAGGAATGAAATGCTTGTTGAAATACGCGTATCTCTATCACGTACTCGGGTAGCAGAGGACCTTCGCATTCGTGCAGGGAGCTATATTCGCATGTAGCTACGTATATAAACCCTAAGAACAATAGAATGCTATATGGGGAAGACAATGGTAATGTGAAAAAAGGGGGAATCATGGAACAATAGGGGAAGAGAACAAAGGAACATGAGCTTGGATGATACTCGAAATCCAACAATGCTCCTACCAGAAGGTTAGCATGGACATGATAGTAAGTGATCAAGAATCCGGACCGCAAGCTCTGCCAGAATTATATACATGTACACAAAAAAATCAATGAAAATACAGTAGCTAAGAATTGGTACAAATGTTGAATCGGATACTTAAAGATTTATTATCTTTATCCTCAGAAAGTGGTATTATAACAAGGTGTTGGTTAACGACATGAAAAATCCCCAAAAATAGTGAACGCATTAAACCAAATGGTTTGAAATATGTTCCTAGGGAGCTTGGGGAGTAAATGGTGTTAAAATTGTCATTCAGATGAGATTTGAACCACTTGCCCCGACATACCGATGACATGAACCCATTGTAAAATAAAGTAATAACAAAAAATGTCACAAAAGGTTGATCTGGGCCGAACTTGAATTGACGACCTCCTGCGGACAGAAATGTTAAGCAGACGTTCCACCAACTGAACTACCGCGATTAGCAGAAATTCAAGAATAATTGTATCGAGCGCAGTAGAGACTTCAAACGTTTGGTTTTCTGACAAATGAGGAGGGTCAGGCACTCGAAGGCAGTCCGATCAGTGCATGACTGACCATGCGAAGCAATTGTGGAACTCGCTGCGTGCGGAGAATGAAGACCCAGAACGTTGGGGGAGTCGGAATGCGTTTGCGAGTGAATACTTCAGCAACAATATGTGCACTCTCGTCGTTGCACCAGGTAATCGATACATCGCATATGGTCAGATATTTTTCTTCATCTTTCATCTCAATCTCGCCTCACTCACTAAACACCATTTTTGTCTAATAGATTTATTCGCAAATTTGTTTATTTCTCCATGGTACACTGTTTTCATGATCTATGGACTTTTAAATATTGATACAAGCTATGGGGAACCTGAGCGGAATAGGACTTCTGAGCAAAATAAAATAACTTAGCCTCCTGGATGAAAATAGGGCAGAGCAGGAAATGGCGGGTATGCGGAGCTCAGATGGACACAGTAGGATGCAGAATATACCAGGAAAAAATATATACTATAGCGGAAATAATGATTAAATGACAATTTAAAACATCTACAGCATGCAACAGACCCACCTCAGACCACACCTGCTGGAGCCAGAAGCGCTCGGCATTTTGATTGATTTTGAATACAGAACGTGTCGGCAGAGACCAGCGGGTCTTCTGGAGAGCGGCCAAAATCTGGGAATATCTGGAGACAATCCGCTCTTCAGCTCTCAGCAGATTCCTACAGATAATCCCAGATTGTTCCCGAGCAGGTTTTCACGGGGACGTTCACCCTTGTTAGATTGAATTACCGTCGTCAAAGATGAAGTAATTATACGTTACACGAGGATATAAAGTTCCGAAGCATGAAAGCGCGGGTGCCCTGACTGGACGGTTGCCAGAAACATCTTTACACTGGTTAAAACCTACTGAAAATCACCTTTCATGTTGTTCTGAGAGACATGGAAATGACTATGAACCCAAAATGCCATTAGAACTCGCATTGGAAGCATAGCTGATTCGAACTCCGATATGTCTCACCAACTCGAAGTGGCATTGGTACCATGTTCTGGCTTGCTATCTTGATAGCCCCAAATTCTGCATTGGACGAATGTTGATAGCACGGAGATGGCTATAGGATATTTGTGGAACTCTTCCTAGGAATTGAGAGCGTTCTGTGGGTGGTGGGGGGAGAACACATCGTATCTGAGGAGGTAAGTACCTCAGTGACATTCATCGCGTATTCATGTAGATTCTCACATCACGTTTGATCTTGAAAAGAGTGAAGTAGGCTCAATCAAGCGACAGCACATGGCATTGAACTTAATTCTCAACCTTGGTCATCATGGAGAATTCTGTCAATTTTCCATGTAAGAGATTGTCTGACAACTGAGAACGACTGCCATACCTGCTTGACCAGAATATCCAAAAGTCGTGACCTCTTCATTTGCCTCTTTTCAATTTAATGCTCGATCTAGTGATGTCTTCGAAGGTCCTAGAAGAATGTATCGTGTGCCATGTTAGCCCGCCTCCAGAAGCAAGAGATCTCTAACCATTCCCTGTTCTTCACAGCCAACGTGCGTATACCATCATGAACCAACAATAACCATATACAGCAGAACGCGGGTCGATAGACAGTATTGTGTCCACGGATTTTCTTTTGCAGATTTATTCCCTCTTGGATGGAATATTAGAGGAGAACGGCGTAATTGAGACTAGGCAAGTCGTATGGCAAAGAATCTGCAAATACGCGGATAGCCCTGAACGCCAACTCGCCATGTCTGGAGCTCAATTGTCTATCCACTTACACGAGCGAGGTGAGTCGCATTTTGCTGGATGTAACCCTTCGCTAAGTGTTGTTGTGTTAGATCGTCTATCTTCATTCCTACTTTCGATGGATCATAGTGTCATAACAAGGAAGAATCTCTATCAGTACCAGTACCAGAATTATCGGGCGTCACCATTGAAAATCATTTGCTAGAAATAAGAAACACAGTTGGAGTTCTATTCTGAATGTTGTTTACTTGGACTTACCGCGATGCGCTTCTCATACTCGCCAGGACGCCTCTGCTTTGGGCAAGCTTTTTAACTGTTTCCGGGATGTCCCTCATTCCAGATAGGGATATCATCCTGGGATATTGAACTGGTGCAACATTGATGTTATGATCCTCTCAAAGAAGGTAGTCAGAATGGTGTTGATGCCAATCTTAAAAACAGATCAAGACTTACCTTGTGCAGGTGTGTCCCTGAGATTTAAGAACCTGAAATATTTGTCAACTTGAGGAGGATTCTACTCGGTACTCCATCTGGTGCGCTTTTTGTCCTTGTTGCCCCCGTTGGAATTGCTGACAATAACAGTATTTTGATCTTTTTTGATGCATCTCTTAAGAGCTATAACGGGTTGCATGAACGTCATTCCTGCGGTTTTGTTGAGTGACACACGCTTGTCTCTTCTAATCCTCAATCGAATTGGCTTGAATGCCCTCCCGCAACCACCCTTTGAGTGAAAATGAAACACCAGTATTATAATAACCCTGAATAGGTAAGTGTCAGTTGAGGATGTGCTTTGTTTCAAATCTTACGAACAAACAGCTCGGTAAAATCAGGACGACAGAATTTGACCTGACTCCCTTTTCATTCATACACTGAACTCCAGATATAAAACCGGCCAACAATCGATATTGCTAAGAGGATAGGATGACATTGAGGGATTGCGAGCGCTGTGCTGAAATTTCCGAGTGAGCAAATGAAGGTGGCCCAGTCTGAACCTTTTACGTAAGAACAACCACAAGTCAGATTATCCGCGCTTTCCTTCCTTCCTTCCTGGTTGTTGCACCTATCATTGATGTCTTCACCTCATAATGTCAATAACATCTCCCAGCCGGATTCTCAAGTTATCGATCAGATCGATGATGATCGGTTGACCGACCACGTTGTGCAAGGTGAGATCTATGATCTACATTGTGGTTTGCCTTCACGCTAAGAGAAATTGTTACTTTTAGATTTCAGGCCGACTATGAGGATCGGCATAACAGAAGAAGAATCGGACGACCCGAGGTCGAAAGCGCAATATCACGGCGAATCAGGTACTTCTCGTGATATGGACTTCACTGTTTCGCTTACATACCGTGATTTCCTATAGGTCTTGAGGAGTCAAAGGGACGCATTGTCGCTCATACAAGCCGTTCACTTTTTGCTGTCTCGACACGACAGAAGACGGTTGAATGCCTACCCAATGAGCTTCTAGGGAATATTCTGGCAAGATGCATCCCAAGCTTAGATGAGTTATCTCTTGACCAGAGAAAAACAAACATGGTTCGTGATGGGCTGCTTTTGGTCTGCAAGCGTTGGCGAGCTGTGGGGCAAAATACACCGCGGGTTTGGACAACCATGGTATTCAATCGTACCCTTCTTCACGATGCTAGGAACGTGAAAGACTGGCTATCATGGTCTGGTGCATGCCCTGTTACCATCTTTGTAAAAGCAACCCACAGGCGGCCCAATGACCTCATCAATGTTCTTCTGGGAGAAATTCATCGTCATTTTTCCCATGTTCGCCATCTAATTGTACATGATCTGAACAATGAAGAGTATGACATCCTTTTCCCCTTCGCCACCCCCACGCATGCTCCGATGCTTGAATCATGCTGGTTGCGATCTGTTTTTATAGAGGTTGCACAGGACTATCAGATACGAATGGGTCAAATTAATTCACCGTGTTTGTCCTCCATTGGTATCAGCGGTCCGTATTGCTTTATTCCCCGTGTATTGCCTTTGGCACCTGGGAGGCACACAGCCTTAACTTCGCTCAACATTCGGGGATGGAATCGGCCTGGAAACATTACAGACATTTTGCCGGTTCTTAGGTGTTGTCCCGCTTTACTAGATCTCAGTATAATAGCTGGCATTGAAGTTACGCCGTTCACTCCTAGACACATAATGCCTGTGGAGCTTCCCGCTTTATGTGTCTTTTCCTTCTGCTATGTTTCGCTAAACCCAGACGACCCAGAATGCTTCCTGGAATCCATTCAAGCACCCGCATTAAAAGACCTAAGATTTGCGCTAAGTGCCACTGAGGATTATGAGGGTTGGATCGACCCTTTTTACACACTCATGGCGCCATTCTCTGCATCATTGTCTAAAGTTACCTTTACAGGAGATATGGATGAAGATGAAATTATGGACATTCTTCGGGATTTGTACAGGATCAATGAACTTACCCTAGTTGGTCTCAAGTGTGCCGATGCAATCTATGAAGGCCTCTGCCCTCCTCCTGACACTGAGACAATTCATTGGCTCTGCCCCCATTTACGGACGCTGACTATAATTGAGGTTGGGATAAAAGCCGACTGGATAGTTCAACTTCTTTTCAAACGCATGCTTCCAGTCAATTCCATTGCGAGAGATGGCGATGGCCTATTGACCCGCGTTTGCATCAAACGTCCCAGGATAGAAGCAAGCAACGCAGAAGTTGCATTGGAGTTGGCATCTCTCTCCCAGACTCATGGCGACGTTGAGTTTTCTCTCCCGTAGCCATACGGGGAGCGTAATCAGCGGTACAGGCCGCTTCACTACGCCCGCCATCAACACTTTGACATGTGCTCAAAAACAGACCTTTCCCATAATACCGTCGCGCAGCCCGTTTCTTTTTTTACGCGGTTATTGGAAATCTATGCCCAAGCGTTCCAAGGCATTCTAGGCGTTTTATTGACGAAGGAATGAAATGCTCCTACCAGACGGTTAGCATTGACACGATAGGAAGCGATCAAGAATCCGGACCGCAAACTCTGCCAGAATTATATACATGTACACAAAATGTCAATGAAAATACAGTAGCTAATAATTTGTACAAATGTTGAATCGGATACTTATAGATTTATTATATTTATCCTCAGAAAGTGATATTATAACTGGTTGACGATAAAAGAAATTTCAAAAAATTGTACAGGCATTAAACGAAATGGCTTGAAATATGTT